TCTTTTAGAATGAAAAACCGTCAGGGATACTCTAAAAACACTTTTGAAAAAGCTTGATTACAACTTTATATGGGTGACAGAAAAATGCTTTGCAAAAGTTTGCAACATAGAGCTTGTTCGTTGTTAATGTCGGGAAGTGCTTGACATGCAAGCGGAAAATCAGAGCGTAGTTACCTAGGTAACGTCAGACGATTGACGGTGTCTGTTTAAATCCTGATATTCTTACCTCGCAAACCTAGAAAAAAACTTTTTCTTTTCCCAATTTAAGTCTAGAGTTATCACTAAAGATTTCTTCCTACTCATTTAAAAGCGCTGTCAATAGTTTACGGGCTCAGTGTTGGGATTCGGGTTTTTTGCATCGTCTCTGATCTGTCGGTCTACTAATTGAAGGATTCGCTCGCCTCAGAAGAATCACCATCTTCTCTTAGAAACGTCCAAATAGCGATGCTGTAAGCTTCCGCCCAGCTAACAAACGTCAGTGACCCTCTTATGGTAACAATGTGAGGAGGCTGTTCCGCAGTTGTTTTCAGTTTCAAAAGGAAATCTGCCTCAATCAGTATCCAACATATCATTGAGAAGGAAAGGCGGTATATTCTGGAGTTGCCGTGGAAACCTCAAGAGTTATGCTAATTACCTCCGTGAATGACAGTTTTAAGATAACGGAACGAATAGAAGAAGCGCTGGCATCCGCACGACGTATGACCACTACTCATTTAAGTACCAAACAATATAAGCACGGCTCATTGACTTGTAGCACAACTTCCCGTGCCAAAAATCCGGAAGTGCCTGGACAGATCTACTGGCCTACACTAGCAGTTTGCTCAATATGCTCCTGAATGTCCATTTATGATCTCAAAATGTCCCCGATAAACGGGCAATTATATGATTTCTTTGCTAAAGGAAAGACACAGAAGCGGTAAACAACTTTACCTACGATTCCGTTTTAAGTTCCAAAAGGTAAACGGTTACGCAGTGTTTTATTTTGTCGAAATTAGGAAACTGAAATGGTTCGCTCACCTTTGAACAGGGGTTTCGCTCACACAGTGGTGGAACTTCACTTTTTCAGGAAGGGAAAGGCTCAAATAGCTAGGATGTGAATTAACCCCTCTTATGATTTTAACCCATTCTTTCCTACGCTGGCAGGTTGGCTTTTAGAGTTTCTTTTATGTCAAAAATATGGCCACATGTGCCTTATGAAGAGTCAAGAGCCTCGTAACAACAGAAGGTCACCCACCTCTTAGCGCCAGTGAGGCAATCCTGATATTCGAAAAAACAAGAAAATAGATCGTTGAAATTTCTTTATTTCAAGCATTTATTACATTTTGAGAAATATGCGATAGAACTACAGTGGAAACGAAGGGCCCGCGTGGTGTGCTGATGAACGCGTCAGCCCGCTGAAAGGGTGATAGCGCGTTCGTTCCACACCGTAGACGCCTGTGGTCCGGAGTTTTGCAAATATCTCAGCATCATTGTGGTTGTATCACACGCAATGCCCTGCCATGAAAAATTGTAATAGGCAGTAAAAGAAAGTTAGCATTGAAACTTATTATTAATGAGAAGAGACTCAGACTACAAAGGGTTAAGTAGACGTTTACAAGAAACTAAATAGAATGTTCTAAAAAATCCACAAGTAGTTCGGGAGTTCTCGAGAGAACCTGCTGCAGTTTTAAGCAGCCATCATCACTAATCGTCATGGCGAAACGAACAGGTTTGACAGCGCACGACTAACTTATCGACTACATTACTTTTTCCACCTTTTCCTTCGTTTACGTACTTAAGTGAGTTCTTGAGATTTTGTGTGATTGATGCTTTTTGTCTTTGCGTGCCACCAGGAGAGAATGCCTCAGCAAAATTTTCTAATCTTCGCAATTTTAAATGAAGCTTGTCACCGTTAGTCATCCTTTCGTGCCTTATGTCTCGAACTATTGCTTCCTTTTCGGAATCTAATGGTAGGGTTTTCGTTACTTTTCTTAACATCAAATTCAAATAAAGACTTGAGATTTGCACCAAAACCTTATCAGGTCCTCAGTCGCTGTCAATAGGTCCATTCTAAGAACCGGCATTTTTCTTCGCAAGAGTTTTTTTTCTCATTTTACTTCTATTCATTAACCTGACTACTATATCTGAGTTCCAGATGAATGACCATGTAGGAACAACGGCAGAAGAACTGATAACTGGTTTTCAAACAATGATTGCTCTTAAATTCAAAGCAATGTATCCGAGCTTATATTGAACTTCAATGCTTGAAATAACCACTACTAGAACTTAGACCTTTGTCTATCAGATGGAAAACATCTTTTTTCATGAATTTGAAGCTCTCATTTTGTGAGGTTTACAAAACCTACCTGTTTCACATTTTCTCTCCATTGAAATTAGCACTGCAAATACAACTGGAGCAATTGAACAAGCGAGATTTCTACCATCATTGCGGTCTTCTCAATACATCGCTGTGGTTTACGGCAGATCAGATTGCATAGGAGGTGTGCAAAACTTAAATTTTTTTTCCTTTAGTCACATCGAGGTGAAAGGAAAGCTGGTTTGGTAATATCGAATTTCATTTTCAATTTTCAGGAGTCCTAAGCTGGAACAGCTTTAAGTAAGCATTTCATGCAAACTACATGTGACCTTGAACAATTAGAGCAAGACCCATTCGTAAGAGTTCTCTACTCCTCAGCTACTTTAGCCATCGATAAATTACTGTCAATTATTGAAAAACCAGCGCGGCCAAGAATCTGTTAATGGCATTTGGTTGGCCATTAGAACTAATGTGCTGTACAAAAAGAATACAAAGGAATCTCAACGAACAGCAACAAGAAAGAAAACTTCGCTCCATTTTGTTAGTCAAGAAGCTATCCGTTTTTGTTAGAAGGAAGAACAAAATTTCTTCAAATCGAATTTGCAAGATGTGCTAACAAGGCAGTAGAACCCGGTGTCCAAGATTTTTTCCGACATACTTGAACTTATTCTTGTAATATCACTTAAAGATGTTTCCTATAGATCGTGAAAGGCGACTAAATCTGCGTCGTCATCTTAACTCTTTTATTTACTGCATTTTCTTCTTAATGGCAGGGTATGTTTCGAATTATAACTCGTATGAAATGCTGAGATATTTGCCCGGATGGTGTAGTGGTGAAGTGCGCTGCTCCCCGGTAAGGACAACAGCGCGTGTTCGTTCCCCACTGCATACACCTGTGATCCGGAGTTTTGCAAATATCTCACCATTTCATACGAGTTATAATCTGCGTCGTCACCTATAACAACTTCTTCCGTATGTCCACCTGGCCGGCCTCCTACGGGCATTGGTAAAGAAGGAAAATGGAAAAAGGAAGGAAATTCATGAAGAATTGTGGATTATTCCTTCGCCTCTGTTATTTTTTTACTAAGTCAAAATTTCGATACTGAGGGTATGGTTTAGCCTAGTGGAAGCGTTTAGCGCAGGACACTGACTTTCTGACACTGACACTGACGCAGGACCGCAGATGACTTTCTATGTATACTGTCCTTAGTTCGATTCCGAGTTCGGGATAAATGGAACTCCCCAAATTCTTTCAGGATCGACAACCTGTGGCCGAAGTAGTCGAAAAGTATCAAAAGACTAACTTGGCAGATTGGTGAGCCTCCGAAAGTCCTATAGGACAATTATGCATTCAACTACGTCTAAGATACTTAATGGAGTCGAATGCATGTGATATCCTTAACGGTCTGATTAAAGCTGAACGCTATCTCTTCGCTCTTCAGTTCTGTCAAAGGGTAATGTTTAGCTTTATCATCACTCAATGAAAGGTTAATACCGAATTCTTTTTCACGGGAAGGCATAAGAGACAAATTTATAAATTCTGGAAAACGACGTGTGGTTCGTAGACAACTCGTCACTGGCGCTTTACGAAAATGGTGCAACTTTTTTTCTCATATGCTTTTAGGAACGATTTCTTAACTGAAATAAGTGAGAAGGTACTTGAAAAACAAAGACATAAACTGAAAATTGTGTTAACCTTGTAATTGAAAACCAAGTAACGTAGGCCTTCTGTGGTTGCTTAGAAAGCTCGTTCCACGGCCGTCTAATTAAGTACTTGAAAATTCGAAGCTTCGCATTTCATCAGTTTTTCTTCTGTGAACAAAGCGTTTGCCCTCTATTCATTTCACATCATTCAGAATGACATGCTATTGTAAAAGTCTTCCATGTTGTTCGGATAAGGAAGAGAATCTCATGTTGCTGTAGAGCATTTTGGAGAATAGCTTCCATATTTTTCTGAGTATTGGTCATCATCTGAGTAGCGTCATCAGGATTGTAGGAGTTACATTACCCTACAACGATCTCTTTCATTGGAGGATACCCAATCATCTAGTTGAAATCCTACGTGCCGCTATCCCAGATGGATGGAGGTTTTAAGATAAACCAAAAGTGGCGACCTTGTATTCTCTGAGTCACAGGAGGATCCTGTGTATGGCTATCCTGTCCTTATTTCGTCATGTACCTGCTTCGCAGATTTGGGACATGCCTTTCGTTTTACGTAGATAGAACTATGTGCGTGTGTCCACGCATTTGCAGATTGTATTCTACAAGTCAAACCGTTCAAAAACTTGCAGTCAAGTAACTTGAACATACATGTGAGGTGGTTAGGAGTCGCTTCAAAGAAATGGACTCCATGCATGTTATCGCTACCCATAAATGCTGTTATCCAAACATAGTGAAATAAAGAGGCCTCATTTCCCTGTGCCTTAAAAAATAGCATTGGATAGGGAGAGTGCGAATCCACGCAAATATCGTGAAATTACAATCCAACAATGTGGCAACCCGCACTTGTAGTGCGCACTTCTTTGCATTCCAGTCGTCTATTAAAGATCTGATTATGTAGACTGAAAGAATAAGGTGCGACGTGACCAGACTGTCTGAGACAGGAAGACGCTACCCATTCAACGCTGTCCGTGAGACGGCGGAAGAGCTGTTCCTCGGAACATGCGACAATAGCGGAGTTGGCGATGCCGACGTCCTCTTCAACATGAATTTGGCCATGCACATTGATTCATTCGAACAACTAACAACCCGAATCGGATGTTTACCATTGAAGAGGTGTGGATCAACACCAGCTTTGAGGATCCTAGTCGTCTACGCATCAACATCAATCCATGGCAAAGAGCAAGACGAAGCGTTCTATATAGCAACCCGAATCGGGGTAAAGAGATGTGAATTAATTCACTATATTCTTGATGAGCCAACAAGAGACGTTGCTTTATTCCCTATTGACGGAAAGATGACGTTTCGGCGGATTTCGCCCTCTTCAGAGGATGGAAAAGTCAAGTTGGGTGCAATCTACGAAGCCGAAACCTCTAACCAAACAGAGAAGACGCTAGACCAAGATTTCAATCAAGTTGAAAACAAAATAGCACCTTGTCGTTTTCAAGGCTTTCTATGAGCCTTTCACCGAGTTTGTCACCTGGAGATGAACCGCACAGAGTTCACATGGAAGCGTAATATGCCTCGCTCACATTAAAATACCAGTGTGAAGTACTGCATGAGATCATGCGCGATAACGAGGCATTCCCCCCTTCGGTTCATTTTCAGATTCTTAGAATGTATCCATAGGAATAGGGCTAAGGAAAGACCCAAGCTCGCAAGCGATAATTCAAGTCACAATAAGGTTTCGTTTATCCTTTCTTTCATTTGCAAAGGAACGGTGCATCTATAAAACGCTGCTTAAGAAGTGCCGGCATACAAAATTGGATAACAGTGACAGAAATACCACCGAGCACTCCAGCACACCAGCTAGTTTGCAACCGCCTGTATGACCGTCTATGTACAACACAAAATTGTATAATTTGCCTCGACGGTAGCGATGGTGATTGCACAAGTTTGGGTACGGTGTACCTAATCTCTTCCGAAGCTTGTGACTGTAAAGGAAGTATACATCAGCGAAACGGGTAGACCACTCTTCGTCCTTATAAAACAACATCTACCTGGTAAACTTAAAGTTAAGCCAAACATTCCACTGAGCGTGCATAGAACACGTAGACATAACAGGGAAGCTTTTAAAGTAGAAGTTACCATGCTTGCCTTTGGTAGAAATCGTCTAGAAGAACATGGCATCACTTGACAACAGTTTCGTAGGATTTGAAACGAATCAGAAAACCGAAGAAAACAAGTCGGATCAGCGTCTCCCGAATTGAGCTAAATCTGCTCAACGGTTCTTTTGGCAGAAGAAGCAATTCGCCCATTCGTCGCTAAGAATCCTCTAAGAAAATTCCTGACGTTCTACGTAAAGTTTGAACAAAAACATGGAATCGATATAATTTCCGTTACTAAACTGGCCTCGAAAGCGTGTTATATTGTCTACTTGATGGTGAGTAGAGATAATCGTCCAAATTACTTCTTTTTGACTGCTGCGAATTCAACTGATAAACATTCAGTGAAGAACTATCGTCAACAAAATAACGAAATGCAGGAAAAACTGCAACATCGGCGACTTGTTCCGGTCAATTGGCAGAGATTCAGGCTTATTATTGTTAATATTTTTATTGATTCCTTTCGTCGGATGAATGCTGATTGCCCCTATAGAGCAAAAAAACTGACTGAGAAGAAGTTAAAGCAAACACCTAGATTGGTACTAGATAGCGTTTAAGCCCTCACTAAAGGTAGTCGCAGTAGCAGACAGCAACGTATAGAGAAAAACGACTGTCGGTTGACTGAAAACTTGATGGGACAGAATTCGGCATTCTAGATTTTCCAAAGGAAAATTCATGATCTTCGGAAGTCAAGAATTATATCATACTACTTGGATACTTGGATGGACGGTCTTCACTGGTTGTGCCGGCCTCAGCATAATTTCCACTTTTTTGGAGATTTGCTGCTTTAGCTCTCTAGCCATTGCAATTCTCTGGAGTCTCGAGGCCAGCCAGGCCAAAGTCTGCCCTAGGTCGTCACCATCATAGGGAGTCACCACCTTTGTGGATCAGAGGGAGATTTGCCACCATGCGACTAGTTTGATATGGATCCTTGATTTGATATAGTTTGATATATGATATGGATATTTGTTTACTCTTAGCCGGGCTTCCTGATGGAATGATGGAAGCGCAGGACTCCTTCTCAGCTTGGGAGACCCTGTTGGGTGGGAGATGAATCCCCGCTGCGCATCGCAGCCCGACACCCAAGAACACCTCCCAGCCACGATGAGGCGGTAAACCGTTTGGAGGAGAATTATATCATAGTGGGATGAATAAACTTTTATTAAATCGTCAAAGGTGTATATATTCCAATATTTTTTTTCACAGTTAACAAAGTGGTTGTGAGTTGGGATATGCGTACTTAAAGATGAGGATTTAGAGTAAACATCGATTTTTTGACAAGCCTTGACACCACAGGAATTTAGTAGCATCGAGATCTCGAAGCCGAAAGTGTTTTTGGTGAAGTGCTCCATAAAACATGACATGGTAAGCCTATAAGCAAATCAATCGTATAAAATTTTTTCCTATTTTATTTGATAATATGTAACGAGCATTCGGTTGCTTAAGTCGTCCTAGATCGTTGGATTGACTAATCGCAAGAATCGCGCCAGCGTTGAAACCACTGCTATTGTGGAAGAATTGTGACTGTCGCGCACTCTGAAAAAGCTAATCTTTGTTAGCAAGCTTCTCACCGATCCACAAGAGCCGCTGACTGTCTTTGGTTTTAAGATAGGAGGGCCCTAGAATAACCATCTCGTGTTTCCAAGGTAAACCACGCTAACATTCATAGTGAGAGTGGCATGAGAAGATGACCGATTCTCAAGTCGCAATCGAATCAGTGATTGAGCATGTAAACCCTTATAGATGACAGTTTACGGAAAACGAAATGATTGAAACAAATATTTGAGCCAATACCTCATGAAAAGATGGACCATCGAAATGTTGTAAACAGTAAGTTATGAAACCATCGTAGTGGATAAAATTTCATTACATAACTTAACTGAAAAATGTTGTGAAGAGTTCGAAATCGAAAATCGAAAGTCGAAATCCGAATAGTAAAAAAATTTACACAAAATGGAAACCACCAGGCCAGCCAACAAGTGCAAAAAAGAATAAGAAGGATAAAATTGATCAATCGCTGAGGAATTCGCCTTGCATCCAACTTCATTAAGCATCATTTGGAGGTGAATATCTGGGCTCTACAAAGAATGACTCACGGTGGCCTACCGATGTATCGAACCAGTGCTCCCAGAGAAGTCTGGTACCAAATTGCAGACCCCGGAAAGATGGAAGCCTGGTGGGCCATGCGCGCGCGGATCGATTCCACGTGTGTTGCGTGGCGCCTCTGACTACAGCGCCACACACGCCTTCTACTTGTCTACCTAACTCCTACTAATGTCAGTTGGACCGATTCATATCATTGGTCTACCTAAGTTCTATGTTTTCGAGTTTATGCAAAGAGACGGAGAGCGGAGTAGATGATGGTGCAAGAGATGACTTATTTTTTCTCTGAGAAATGTACGTCATGTGTCCTAAGCGTAAACCTTTTTTTTGCAGGCGTTCAATTTAAAGGCTTTCTATGATTATATGCTGAAATCAAAGTGCATTAAAGATAAAATGGACGTTGATTGGTCTGTTAGCAATGAACTATGCATTCGACTCCATTAAGCATCACAATGGTGACTAAAAAGATTTTCTTGTCATAAGCAATGACTTTTGAAAGCTCACCATTGTGCGAACACATTGTTCCTATCCTCTCAAACAACTATGGTACCATATTACCACCTCGCAGAGATTGACGGCTTTATTTTCACGGCGCCAGATCGAACCAACGACTAGATGTTTGTTATAAAACATTTCTTCAGTGCTTCTCCGGCTGCGTCCACAGTTGTGAACGACCCTTGAAAACATCATTTTCATTACTTCCAACTTCAACGTTGCTGAGATATTTGCAAAACTCTGGACCGCAGGTGTCTATGGTGGGGAACGAACGCGCTATTATCCTTTCCGGGGAGCAACGCGTTCACCACCACACCATGCGGGTCCTTTGTTTCGCACGTCTCTCAGCTATTTCTATCGATCTGCCATGAAAATTATAGAAGGCAGAAAACAAAACGTTAAACATTGTGATTTCAACTACAGCCATAGCTTAACTGGGTTCTATGCCGATTTGCGCTCCCCAGATCAACCCCGCTGACGGGTGATTGCTGTGGCAAAAAGATCGATAGAAATAGCTGAGAGACGTGCGAAACAAAGGACCCGCATGGTGTGGTGGTGAACGCGTTACTCCCCGGAAGGGATAATAGCGCGTTCGTTCCCCACCATAGACACCTGCGGTCCAGAGTTTTGCAAATATCTCAGCAACGTTGTGGTTGTATTTCGCTTAGTAACCTGCCATGAAAATTATAGAAGGCAGAAAACAAAACGTTAAACATTGTGATTTCAACTACAGCCATAGCTTAACTGGGTTCTATGCCGATTTGCGCTCCCCAGATCAACCCCGCTGACGGGTGATTGCTGTGGCAAAAAGATCGATAGAAATAGCTGAGAGACGTGCGAAACAAAGGACCCGCATGGTGTGGTGGTGAACGCGTTACTCCCCGGAAGGGATAATAGCGCGTTCGTTCCCCACCATAGACACCTGCGGTCCAGAGTTTTGCAAATATCTCAGCAACGTTGTGGTTGTATTTCGCTTAGTAACCTGCCATGAAAATTATAGAAGGCAGAAAACAAAACGTTAAACATTGTGATTTCAACTACAGCCATAGCTTAACTGGGTTCTATGCCGATTTGCGCTCCCCAGATCAACCCCGCTGACGGGTGATTGCTGTGGCAAAAAGATCGATAGAAATAGCTGAGAGACGTGCGAAACAAAGGACCCGCATGGTGTGGTGGTGAACGCGTTGCTCCCCGGAAAGGATAATAGCGCGTTCGTTCCCCACCATAGACACCTGCGGTCCAGAGTTTTGCAAATATCTCAGCAACGTTGTGGTTGTATTTCGCTTAGTAACCTGCCATGAAAATTATAGAAGGCAGAAAACAAAACGTTAAACATTGTGACTTCCAACTTCGTTAGTCAATCAGGCGCTATCAAGCACCAGAACTATCAAGTGAGTTTCGCTGGCCAGAAACGAACGAAATCCTTTCATAGGCTCTAAGGCTTTTTCTTACCATTTTTGGTGAGGCGGTACCCACGTTGCTTTTCTCAACTTTTTGATGGGAGTTGAACTTACTTCCAGGTGGCTAGTCATACACATAAATACATACCTAAGGGGTGTGCTTACGCAAAGGTTCGAGCTGCCTCAGGCGCCCTAGTCGAACCAACCATTCTCTCTCTCCGTGGCAGTATAAAAATCACTGGCTTCATATACTGGTAGCCCACGGCAAACAAATGACAGGCGAAATATGCATTCAAACACGTTTGCAGATTCTAATAAAGTCATGTGCTTAGCATATCCTCGAGGAATGGATCGAC